GAAGCTGTGGCTGCCCCCTCCCTGGCAGTGCTCAAGGCCAGGTTGGATGGAGCTCTGAGCACCCTGGGCTGGTGGAAGATGTCCCTGCTCATGGCAGGGGGGCTGGAACCAGATAAGCTTTAAGGTCCCTTCCAACCCAAACCAGTCTATGATTCTGTGATTCCCCGGAGCCCTCCCCTGCCTTCTGTGAGGCCTGGGGAGGGGGCCAGCCGCATGCCGTGTGCTGCCGGAGAACAAACAGCATCAGTGAGGGTGGTACAGAGCTGTTCCTGCTCACTTCTGAAGGCAGATCGCTCCACGTGGGTGAACCAGTCTCGTGTTTCTTAATAAATCAAGGAAACGAGGGTTTCTCTATAAAGTGACTTGTAGGATTTCATGGAGGTTTTTGACCTTCTTTTTTAAGTATCACACAGAGCAAATAATTAGGTTTCAGCCTTTCCTGCAGCAGTACCTTGCTTTGTTGGCACAGGTGCAGCCAGTCTGGTCGCCGTCAGCTGAAGCTCTTTATTTCCCTCATGTCTGTGTGGGGGTTGTAAGAATGACCTTGTCCATGCTGATACTTTCCTCCAAAGTTATATAAAAACTTTTGAAGTTTGCCTCACTTAGATTATTGTTCTGCAAGCACTGGAGGTTGCAGATCACGTTGGAAGAGGAGAGCATCTCTCTCTGGAGAGCTGCAGCCAAAATAGTCAAGTGGAATGGTTATCCCCAGACATCTCTTTTTCCCCATAGGGAAACTTTCTTCCTCTTTGTCCAGGGGACTTTTTTTTAGACTGTGCGCAGTACTTTCATGCGCACAAGTTTGTGTGTGATCACAATTCAGATTGATACCTGGACGCAGCTGTTTTTATTTTGGTGTATAGTAATGTTTCTTGCCTTTTCTTACGTGAGAGTGCTCTGCTATTCTGAAAATCACTGTTTTCTTACAGGATTAAGTGGACGATTTGTCATAACAGCTCTTCCTACCATCTATCAGTAAGTATGCAATGCAGCAGGATTTTTCTGGAGGACAGAGGACTTTTTTTAATCCTTTTTGGGGGGGTGAATGGATGAGATTTACCATGTTCTTCAAGAACGTGAGTTACTTTACACAGAGGCAACCACTGTCTTACCTGCTGTGACCTTATGGTGCTGCCGGTTGATTTTTTTTTTTTGCTTTTGCTTTCAGGCCTTACTTATTCTGTCTTTTCATGGGTGTTTCTGTTTTGCAATCTTTTCCCTGCAGGTTAATCTTAATGCAGTTGTGTGACAAGTGCATTAGGAAGATCATAATTTTTTATGGGATCACCTAAAGCTAGCCAAGATACACGTGGAGTCAAGATTTTAGAAATACTTGTAGTCAGTATGTTTGGAAAACATTTTAGAGCCGATACTATCTAAAAAGTAAAACTTGAAAAAAAAAAAAAAGGCAAGGTGATGGGAGGAAGATGTTGAGTGGAAGCAAATGCCACATGCCTGGACTGTCTGAAATAAAGAACTTTTTTTGTTTGCTGTGCAGCTGTAAAGATGGAGAGTTCAGGAGATACCAGGGTGCAAGAACCAAAACCGATTTCATAAATTTCATCAGTGACCAGGAATGGAAATCTATTGAACCAGTTTCATCATGGTTTGGTCCTTCCTCTTTCCTGTAAGTTTTGGTATGATTTTTATAACAATTATTTGCCAAACATGCACGCTTTAAGGACATGCTGGGACAGGTCCTTAGGTGCGCCACGCCTGGTGCTGCCTCCTTGTTACCAGCTCGTGCAGCAGCTCTGTGCCTGTAAGAGGTGTGTGAACGTGATGGGTGAGTGGTTGTGCCTCCTTCGTCAGCATAGCAAAGGTGCCCTGAGCAAGGTTTGCTTTGAGGCTTCAGATAGTTCTAGGTGGCTGTACTGTTTTATTAAACTCTTGTAGGTAACTTACAGACGCTTGGGTGTTCTTCTTTTGGTTACACAGCAGAAAGATGTTTTGTCCAGCTAAATTCTAGGAAATTAGCAATAAAAACTGGAAAATAACGTAGCAACATAGTTGTAAGATACGAGCTGGCCATTTGAGAAGATGTTTCTATAGCAAAGTTAAAAGCAGAGTGGAAGGATGAAGGTTCCTTCGTTGAAGAGGCGGGGAGGCTGTCTAGTCTGAGAAGAAACACACTCTTTGGAATGCTTTCTAGCTTTGTGGCTTTGAAGTGCTTTTAGCTATTGCTGCATGTGCTGTGTGGTGGTTTCGGAGCCGTTGAGTAACTGTGAGTGATAAAGCGCATTGGGAACACCATTGGTTGAGGCAAATGAACCCAGTTATTCATGGTTTTCCTTCTGTTAGTCAGAGCAATGGTGGCTGAAACACCTCTGTGCTGGCTGTACTGTAGCAGTGTTTGGTTTATGAAGTGTTGTGCTGGACTGAACTTTCACAGTTTTTGTGGCTCTTCTAGGAAGCTCAGCGTTTGTCTGCTCGCAAACTTCAAACTGTGTGGTCGATCTCCCACAAAGTATTAGCCCACACCAAGGGATGTGTGAAACAGGGTACTAATTTTTGGATTAATACATTTTTTATTAGAAATGTGTGGGACCAACTCCGTTTTTGTGCATACTGAAACAGTATGCAGGCTTCTTCTGCGGCTCAGTCATTAGCATCTTACGTTGGCTTAATGTTCCAAATTCTCCTTTCCTTTACAGACAATGAATACTTAATGCTGAAGCTTCATAATAACAGGGAGCTGTCAGAATCGGCAGGACATACGTGGCAGATAGCCTGGTCTTTTTCACTTGTATGTAAAACATGGCTAAACTTAAGTGTCTGAAGATCTCTCAGTTCTCACAGAACCTGATTTCTTTAATGGGTTAATTTTTTGTTTTAATAAAATGTCCAGATGCTTAATTCTTAATATTTTGAATAGATTTTCAGCTGGCCTCTTGTAGACTGTTGGCCCAAATATAACGTGGGAAACGAGTGTTTATTGAAGTAAAAGACGAAACAGAAGATAAACCCCAAGTAGTTAGAAGGGAAACTAGACAAGAGCAGAAAGTTGTTCAGCATGGTACTAAATAATGACCAGTCAGGCAAATCAGAAGATGCAGGTAGGTGGTTGGCTTAAAGATATTTTCAGTTACTTTTTTTCTGCTTTTTTTTCAGGATGAGCAGTATGTCAGCTTTGTTTCAGTTGTCAATGTGGATCAGGGTACGTGCTTAGATCTCTATTTTATCTTAACAGACATGATATCCAGCTGTTCTTGAAATGATTCTCTTGTCTTTTATTGCAGCACTGCCATGGTTACTTAACAGAAAATGTTGGAATACCGGTCTGGGGCTCATATGCCATTTTTGCGTTGGCAACTCTGTTCTCGGGACTGATACTGGGACTTGTAAGTGGAGCACTTGAAAGAAATTGGCTTGTGGCTACTGTATATTACACTAATACCTTCTTTCTCTCAGTCTTTGATAGTAAGACCAATTGTTCTTGGGGTACCCAGCCCACTGAGCAGGGACAGGGAGCAGAATGAAGCCCTCATGATCCAGGGGGAAATGGTTAGCAACCTGCTACACCCCTTAGACACACGCAAGTCTACGGAGCCGGGCAGGATCCACCAAGGGTACTGAGGGAGATGACAGAGGTGCTCACTGAGTCACTGAGACACTTTCCATCATTTGTCAGCAGTCCTGGCTAACCAGGGAGGTCCCGTTGACAGGAAGTTACCAAATGTGATGCCCATCTACGAGATGGGCCGGAAGGAGGGTCTGGGGAAATACAGGCTGGTCAGCCTGACCTCGGTGCCGGGGAAGGTGATGGAGCAGATCATCTTGAGTGCCATCACACAGAAAGTCCAGGACAACCAGGCAATCGGGCCCAGTCATGGGTTTATGAAAGCCAGGTCCTGCTAGACTAACCTCATATTCTTCTAGGAAAAGGTGACCCACTAGTGGATGAGGGATAGGCTGTGGATGTTGTCTACCTAGACTTTAGTAAAGCCTTTGACACCATTTCCCACCGCACTCTCCTGGAGAAACTTGCAGCTTATGGGTTGGACGGGTGCACTCTTTTAACTTTTGTTAAAAAACTGGATGGGTGGCTGGGCCCAAAGAGTGGTGGTGGATGGAGTTAAATCCAGCTGGTGGCCAGTCACAAGAGGTGTTCTCCAGGGCCCAGTACCGGGGCCAGTCTTGTTTAATATCTTTGTCAATGACCTGGATGAGGGGGTCCAGTGCTCCCTCAGTCAGTTTGCAGATGACACCAAGCTGGGCAGGACTGTCGATCTGCTCGAGGGTAGGAAGGCTCTGCAGAGGGGTCTGGACAGGCTGGATCGATGGGCCCAGGCCAACTGTGTGAGTTCAACAAGGCCAAGTGCTGGGTCCTGCTGCTGGGTCACAACAACCCCAGGCAACGCTGCAGGCTTGGGGAGCAGTGGCTGGAGAGCTGCCCGGCGGAAAAGG